CCGGCCCAGGCCCCCGCGGCCGTCGCCTCCCGTGTCCGCCCTCGGTTTGGCTCTGCGTCGGTCTTACTTGCAGCGGCTGCCAGATCTGCGTCTTTTCCAAATGCGTGCGGTTTTCTGCCTGTGTGCTGCGTGGGCGCGTCTCTGGGGACGATGGAGCTGCATGCGCTGCCATCCAGGAAGCTTTTTCCCTTGATCTTCCGTGGATCGACACCCACATTCTTTTCGTTAGAAACCGCTTCTGATATTTGTGTCGCTTTTTCTGCCTAGCCTAGGCCCATATTAAAACTTCCAGGCTGCTCCCTGTTCCTTCCAATTCGGTGATGCGCTGTGTCTCAGAAACATGTGAACCTCCTCAGTTGTATTTTCTAGGTATGTGATGAACCAGAGGAGTTAAAGAGAAAGGCTACTGAGCTGGCTGCTGCTGTCCGGAATGCCAAGCACCTTGTTATCTATACAGGAGCCGGGATCAGTACGGTAGGAGTCTTTGGGGGTGAGTGGCTGGAGCTTTGGGAGCTCCTTCAGGAGTGTTGCAATGCTGTTTGGACTTTTTTTGTGGTTTCTAAATGTGATGTGTGTTGCGAGTCTGGGATGCCGTGTTAACACGGCTGCACTGCAAAGCGTGACCAAGACGTTTGCTAGTTTGCGTCTTGGGGTTGTGTCTGCTGCCCAAGAGATTCCGAGGCTGCATCACCTCTGTGACCGTGTAAAGAACGTGCTGCTTAAACGAGAAGATCGCTAGTCTTCCTTCGTTCAAGCCTCTTCAGCTGCTTCTGGTGTAAAACCTAAAACCAAGTTAGCTAATTAATGTTGCCTGCATTAATGGACAAGTAGGGATAGCTGGTGGTTATCAAACTTGTAAGTGACAGTTTAAGAAATGGTTGGTTTCAGTGACCTCTGTTGGAAGAGTGAAAATCTGGTTCTGCCTTTTCTCGTGTGACGTACGTCGCCTTTGTCTGAGCTCTGAGATGGGAACCTTCTTTTTCTTTCCCTTTTCTACAGTCTTTGTTGATACGAAGCGTGATTCTGGGCAGGGTGTATGAGTGCTGATGTCACAAGTCTTTTTGCTAAAGAATGCTGAGTGCAAGGTACCAGAAACCAGAGTCTAGTGAAAATAAGGAAAGGCTCAAGAACTGAGTTCTGTGTATTTTTGGAAGTACCAAGGGAAAAAGAGTTCTGGAGGGATTCCATAATGGTAAAAATGGTGAAAATAAATACTGGAGGTGAAAATGAGAGCTGTAAGGTAGGAGAAAAGATGCTAGAGAGCACAAAAACCTATGAAAAGAAGGTTTTCCTGTGATCAGGGAACCACTGCACTAGAATCGTAGAATCACAGTATGGTTTGGGTTGGAAGAGACCTTAAAGATCATCTGATTCCAGCCCCCCTGCCATGGGCAGGGACGCCTTCCGCTGGACCAGGTTGCTCGAAGCCCCATCCAACCTGGCCTTGAACACTTCCAGGGATCGGGCATCCACAGCTTCTCTGGGCAACCTGTGCCAGTGCCTCACCACCCTCAGAGTGAAGAATTTCTTCCTTATATCGAATCTAAATCTGCCCTCTTTCAGTTTAAAGCCCTTACCCCTTGTCCTGTCACTATGTGCCCTTGTAAAAAGCCCCTCTCCAGCTTTCTTGTAGGCTCTTCAGGTACTGGGGGGCTGCTGTAAGGTCTGCCCAGAGCCTTCTCTTCTCCAGGCTGAACAACCCCAACTCTCTCAGCCTGTCCTCACAGCAGAGGTGCTCCAGCCCTCGGATCATCTTTGTGGCCTCCTCTGGACCCGCTCCAGCAGGTCCAGGTCCTTCTTATGCTGGGGGTGCCAGAGCTGGACGCAGGGCTCCAGGTGGGGTCTCACCAGAGCAAAGTAGAGGGGCAGAATCCCCTCCCTCGCCCTGCTGGCCACGCTGCGGGGGATGCAGCCCAGGGTACGGTTGGCCTTCTGGGCTGTGAGCGCACATTGCCGGCTCATGTCCAGCTTTTCACCCACCAGTACGCTCAAGTCCTTCTCCTCAGGGCTGCTCTCAATCCATTCTCTGCCCAGCCTGTGTTTGTGCTTGGGATTGCCCCGACCCAGGTGCAGGACCTTGCCCTTGGCTTTGTTGAACCTCATGAGGTTCGCACAGGCCTGCCTCTCCAGCCTGTCAAAGTCCTTCTGGATGGCAAGAAAACTTGGAGTGAATGAAAAGCACCCATGAATGAGGTGTATCTGGTTGTCCTGGGTGAGACTGGGTTGATGTGTTTGTGGACGAGAGGTACAAACCTTCCCGTCAGGCCTCGTTTTTCCTCTCCTGATAACACAGGCAGCTTCAATCCCAGACTACAGAGGTCCTAATGGCATATGGACCTTGCTGCAGAAGGGCAGGAGCATCAGGTAAGGAGAAATTCTGAGCTGTGTAGCAGAAAGCTGATACTGAAGGAGAGATTAATGGCAATTCTAACTTTTTTATTTTTCCTTGCTTCTTGGCAGGGACACCTTCCACTAGACCAGGTTGCTCAAAGCCCTGTCCGACCTGGCCTTGAACACTTCCAGGGATGGGGCATCCACAGCTTCTCTGGGCAACCTGTGCCAGTGCCTCACCACCCTCAGAGTGAAGAATTTCTTCCTTATATCGAATCTAAATCTGCCCTCTTTCAGTTTAAAGCCCTTACCCCTTGTCCTGTCACTATGTGCCCTTGTAAAAAGCCCCTCTCCAGCTTTCTTGTAGGCTCTTCAGGTACTGGGGGGCTGCTGTAAGGTCTGCCCAGAGCCTTCTCTTCTCCAGGCTGAACAACCCCAACTCTCTCAGCCTGTCCTCACAGCAGAGGTGCTCCAGCCCTCGGATCATCTTTGTGGCCTCCTCTGGACCCGCTCCAGCAGGTCCAGGTCCTTCTTATGCTGGGGGTGCCAGAGCTGGACGCAGGGCTCCAGGTGGGGTCTCACCAGAGCAAAGTAGAGGGGCAGAATCCCCTCCCTCGCCCTGCTGGCCACGCTGCGGGGGATGCAGCCCAGGGTACGGTTGGCCTTCTGGGCTGTGAGCGCACATTGCCGGCTCATGTCCAGCTTTTCACCCACCAGTACGCTCAAGTCCTTCTCCTCAGGGCTGCTCTCAATCCATTCTCTGCCCAGCCTGTGTTTGTGCTTGGGATTGCCCCGACCCAGGTGCAGGACCTTGCCCTTGGCTTTGTTGAACCTCATGAGGTTCGCACAGGCCTGCCTCTCCAGCCTGTCAAAGTCCTTCTGGATGGCAAGAAAACTTGGAGTGAATGAAAAGCACCCATGAATGAGGTGTATCTGGTTGTCCTGGGTGAGACTGGGTTGATGTGTTTGTGGACGAGAGGTACAAACCTTCCCGTCAGGCCTCGTTTTTCCTCTCCTGATAACACAGGCAGCTTCAATCCCAGACTACAGAGGTCCTAATGGCATATGGACCTTGCTGCAGAAGGGCAGGAGCATCAGGTAAGGAGAAATTCTGAGCTGTGTAGCAGAAAGCTGATACTGAAGGAGAGATTAATGGCAATTCTAACTTTTTTATTTTTCCTTGCTTCTTGTCAGGGCTACAGATCTCAGTGAGGCAGAGCCCACACTCACCCACATGAGCATTGCCTGCCTACACAAGCACAACCTGGTAAGATATTTTTTTCCGCACCTCCCTTGTGTTCCTCTGTCTAAGTATGATAAATAAAACCCAACGGGGGAAAAAAAGCTTTTCATGAGATTGCCTAACTACTGTTTTTACTCAGGTGGCTACACCTCCATGTAGGAAAAAGCATCTGTGCTCGCGTACAGCTGAGTCTTCGTTAGGCTAGCTCCAGACTGTAGCTCTGGCAGTTTTTCCCCGGTGCCTTTTCTTTAACACCTTTTATTTATTTCCCTCCTGGTGAGGCTGGTCTGGGGACTGGGCCACGAAGCCAGCCAGACCTAGTAGAGCTCTGCTTAGCAGGACTCATCTTTTCATTTAGCTTTCATAAAGGTCTGTTCTCTGCACTTCTGTTAGTTCTGCTCTGATACATGGGGCTATTTGGTGCGTATTGAGACACATGCGTCACCTGCATTTGAGTACTTTCACAGTTTTCTGTGTGCGTGTTAGCTCAGCGTTTTATTCTCTTCAAGGTGCAGCATGTGGTGTCTCAAAACTGTGATGGGCTGCACCTGCGGAGTGGGTTACCCCGAGCAGCAATATCTGAGCTTCACGGAAACATGTACATAGAGGTGAGTGGCCAGAACAGGATAAACTTACTCTCTGGTGGCCTCGCAAGGAGATAAAGTAAACTATTTATCTCTCACTGGCTCAAGAAGAGTTAGTACAAGGGGTAGCCTCTGCTAGTTCATGTCTTCAGGCCATCAGGTTTGGGATGAACTCGTTAGCAAGCACCAAACCAAAGTGTTCTGTACAACTTGGTAGCTTTTTCTCTGTACTTGCTAGAGCCTTCTGCTTCTGACTACTCTTCCTCAGGCCTTCTCTGAAATCCCTCCTATCGTATAGCCAATAGGCTCCCTGTAATTCCACTTGCTCGTTGAGGTTTTCCACACTTTCCCAAGTTAGCGTCTGACCCCTGATGATCCCTTCTACTGCTTCCAATTTATTGTCCCCAAAACGTGCTTTTCTTCTGAGAGAAGTGGCTGGCTCCTGGCGTTTCACGGGCTAGATGTTAATGAGGTAACGGGTTTTTTGCTTTCGTCCTGCACCAGGTCTGCACTTCCTGTACACCCAACAGAGAGTACGTGCGAGTATTTGATGTGACAGAGCGCACAGCCCTGCACAGGCATCACACTGGCAGGATGTGCCACAAGTGTGGGGCACAGTTGAGAGATACAATCGTCCACTTTGGGGAGAAGGGGACGTTGAGACAGCCCCTGAACTGGGAAGCAGCAACAGAAGCTGCAAGCAAAGCAGATGTGATTCTTTGTCTGGGTTCCAGCTTAAAGGTAACTTTAGAGACTCGGTGAAGACTGTTAGCAGCATTCCCTCTTGGTGATACACCTTGGTGCTGAGCAGTCTCCTCCCAAACAGACAACTGTAAACTCTGGTGTCAGGATTCGCCCACCATCTGTGATAGTCTCTCTTCCTCCCTCTTTCCCCTCCTGGTAATACATTCCTTTTCCTCTCGCTGATACGGTTCACAGTTACGCGTGCCTTTGGCTGTACTGATAATCTCTGTTTTGTGGCAGGTTTTGAAAAAATCCCCGCGTCTTTGGTGCATGAGCAAGCCACCCACTCGTCGTCCAAAGCTGTATATCGTGAACCTGCAGGTGAGAGCCTTTTGCACCGGGTTTGAAGGGTTTGGGCCAAACGGCCGCTAGTGTGCGGCGAGCCTGTCCGCCCAGGAGCGTGCAGGATCCTGGGCAGGCAGCCCCGCTTGCCCCGTGGGGACGAGCCCCGCGGCCGTGCGGGGAGACGCCTGCAGCCGCGGGTCTGGTGTCGCTCCTGCAGTGGACCCCGAAGGACGACCTGGCCGCCCTGAAGCTGCACGGCCGCTGCGACGACGTCATGCGGCTGCTGATGGCGGAGCTGGGGCTGGAGATCCCGTGCTACGACCGGTGGGTGAGCGGCCCGGGGCCCTGCCCGGCGGCTGTGCCGGGGCACCGGCCGGCCCCG